AGGTGCAGGTTGGAAAAGAGCCAGTGGTAGCCGAACAAAAACATGGCCTCATGAATCCATGAAATCCTTGACAGTAAAACTGAGTCAGGTAGGGAGATGCAGACTTCCGGGTTGGCGCCCTCGGGACTGACTCTAGGAATCAATCAGTGACTGGAGACAATAGGTGACACGGCTCAAAATCGTTGTCAATGGCCAGCTCAGATGTATTCAGTCTCTGTTATCTTTCGTATTCCTTTCTGCCATTACCCATTCTGTTTCACTCTTATACTTGTCAAACTCTATTGATTCTCCTCACTCATCTACTTGTCCACCTTTACGTGCTGTTTGGAACGTGGTAACTCGAAGTGGTGCACTTTGGTGCCAAGTTCTATGTTGAATCTAGACAGAGACAGTACTCAACAGCATAGAAGAAGAAAAGGTTAGACATTTGATGAGGTTAAAATTGTCATTGAGTAGTGAAAAGAAAGGTGGTAGTTGAGTGTCCACTTAACAAGTGTGAAAATAGTGAGAAAATGTTAAAAAACGAACATGTGAGAGTGATTATTAAAATAAAAGTAAACTAATCATTAAAAATTTTTGAAAAATTGCAGGGAACCGCTAATGAAAAGGTTAAGACCATGGTAGAATAGGACAATTGACAGACTTTTTCTATATACAGAGTTCGGGGTTGTAATGATGAATCACCAACCCCTCCACCCTACCCAAATGCCGATACCTGACAATCCTTGAACTATTTAATCTCACTTATTGAATTGAATTTTTGCTTTTCCCGTCGATTGCACAAGAGGTGGCTCTCATGGCCCAAGTGATCTAGTGGATAACGCTTTGGCGTTTGAAACTATGGGTACTGGGTTCGATCTTCGGTGGAAACATCATCTAATAATAATAATAATAATAATATATTCTCATTTTGTACATGAGGGACGCCAGTTTACAGGCATCATCAATATGATGAATTACATATACGATTAGCAATCATACTTAATAATAATGTTTTAATAAAATACACATTTTTTTCCTACCTGTGTAGGACACACCAAATGTACAGGCATGGATAAGAATTATTTAAATTTCATAAATTTGGTTTATGGTTAAATTACATGGTTGCTGACGTTTATGTCTTTGGTTTGTGGGAACAATATGATAACCAGTCATTCAATGGAGCACATCATGAAATATAGGAATATTGACTTCGCATTAACAAAAAAACCCAAGTATGTTTTGGATGGATTAAAAATACTTGGGAAAAAATAAAGCTTGAAGTTATTCCGGATCTCATTTTTGATTTATATCCAAATTGGGTAATAAGAACGAATCGTGACGTTGTATTACAAATTGATACCTTTCCATTGGTATAAGAGTATATTCCACAAATGTAATCCGGGTTGCGTCGCGGGGAAAGTTAATTCGTTATTAACCAGGCAACTGAAAGATACGGGACCAATAATGTTTGCAGATCACTTGTCATTGTAAATGGTCAAACATCCACATTATTCATTCTCATTCAAAAAGTCAAATGGAAGCTAAAATGGTGAGAGAAAAAAGAAGACAAACAACAGCAAAGCAAAAGAAAGCAAGAGGAGTCCTTAAGGAGTGATTAATAAATATATACTTATATGCTCTGTCTAGTAACTATGCTTATTTTTGTTCATTAACTAACTAGTCCCGTTATGCTAACTTTCAAATTATGTGTGAACTAATGTTACTGTCCTGTGTAGAAATGTTTATCATCTAGTTCCAATAATATTAACATTTACAATTGTAGTTTGTTGTAACTACACGTCTAAAGAACTTAGAATATCTATGTAGGGTGAAAAAGAGGGTGTAAGAGTCAGGCGCAAAAGTGTATTGTCATCTTTGAGCAGTCTGGTGACTGAGGAGATGAACACTGGAAGTGCGTTTGCATCGCGCACATTAGCTGGTGGTCTATTCCAAATGACTGAAAACTTATTTAAGAAGAAGTTGTAGTTGAAGATTGAACGATCAATTCATAATAATAATAATGTATATTCTTATATAAACGTATAAATTTACATGGTTGTTTGCTCAAACCCAACTTCCCTATATTTTCGCGGAGGCATCAATACGACAGTCATCGTCTCATCGGTCGCTGTTCAGAAAGAAGTCAGCAGTAAACCGTCAGAAGTAATATTGTGATTTATTATTGTAATATTTGTTCACAAACCTTAGTTGTAACAGTGTTCATATGTTGGTGTTACAATAAAGAATCCTCGAGTAGCCAATCGGTGATTTGGTTTTTGCGTCCGTTATTACTAAGCGTTTCTGAGAAACTTCAAGGAACAGCGTGAGCCCGAGTGCAGCAAGAGCTGGGCATTAACGGTTTATGAGACGTGGCTGACATGATCACTCACTGAGAAATGCAGGTACATTCAGCTGACGAGTCCCAAGTAGGACGAAATGCGCATCCTGGATTCCACTGCTAGCCACCATCCGCCAGTTGTATATTTAGTCTCACGTTGCAGATAATCTTGAGAGATGACTGGTGGGACTCTATGGCTTGAGTTCACAGGGTGCTCGAGAATTGAGCTAGTAACTGTCTTGGGTTGCCCTTTTGTTAATCATGCCGGATAATGTCCAGAGATGCGTCTGGAAACTTTGCGCTTTGTTCGGCTAATATAACTAGCTACGCAGGAGCAGATGACTTTATAAACACAAATTAAAGTGGCCCAAAGTGGAGGCAGTTTATCCTTCACACATCCATTCATCATTTGTCGGCTATAGAAATTGATGCGTAGCTCAGCCGCGAAGAAGGCTTTTCTCAGTGATCTGAATAAGCGGTTCTTCAGGATCTCGGCAGCGGCATCACCTTAAAGGTGATTCAAAGTTCATTAATAGAAGTGTCTTCGGCAGCGTCTGAGTTCCTGAAGGCTTTTTTGCTTAACCCTCATGTTTTCTCGATGAACCTCGGAGGATATCCATTTTTCATGGGAACGTGTCTGAGTCGCTCCAGTTCATCATCAGCTGTATCATTAGTGCATATCCTTCTTATTCTTGAGGATAGGGAGCGGATCAAGTTTCTCTTTCTTCTCAAAGGGACCCAACTATGAAAGTTTGTGTATTGACCATTTCATATTAGTTTCCTGTAGATAGATCTTTGAAGAGGAACGTCAGCTCCCATTTTTAGCAAAACATCCAAAAAATGTATTTCCGAGTTCATTTCTAATTCCAAAGTGAACTAGATGGCATGATGGCAGATATTGAACTCCTTAGTTATCACTTCAATATGATAAAAGTGTCACCTGTGTATCTTTGGTACTTATGAAAACTATCGGTGGTGGGTCGCAACATACTATTGTCTAGACTTGCCAAGAAGCAGTCTGCAAGTAAAGGACAAGTATGGTCTTGTCTTCATGAGTCAATCGATACTTTCGATGATGTGAAAAAAGTTCGAAATCAAATTAAGATTGTTTTTTAATTAATGGTGACTAGCAATGAAATTCACGCGGTGTACATTTCGTCCTATTTTGGACTCGTCATATGAATGATATGTTCCCTCTTTAACATTCCTACCACAGTTTCAAATACCAAAATAACTTCACCCGTAGTCTTCACACCATCGAAAATATCCGTACCAGTATCGTGGTAACATAAAATTACATGAAAACAATCATTCACGTTCAAGGTTACCAGGAGAGGTGATGGTGGAGAAATCTAAGAGCCCACCTCGAACTGAACTATGCACGAAAGATGTTGCCTATTTGTGGACAATGAAAGCTTCGCAAATAAACCATCCAGCTCAGAAAACACAATTACATCAAAATCATCAACCTGCCCTTTTTATTATGGACCAATTTCTAGTGAAATCGAAATGATATTGACATCCAAGCCAGGAGAGCGACAAAGAAGTGTATTACCAAGGAACCTCCATTACACACACTGAGATTTAGGTTATGGCCACGAGGCCTCATGCCTGTATTTGGCACTTTCGTATAAGTATCTTTGCTTGCTTCATCAGTCACCACTCGCAGGAGTTCACACCAAGAGCAGTCACTAAGATCCTCCTTCGTTTTTCAACTACCTTGCTATGTTCCCGCAGACGTTCCGACATAGTGGGGATAATAGGAAAAGGCATGCCAAGAACATCGTCATTTCCTGGGAATCTTAACATCACGATTAGACCCTTTCTCTGCACACGAAATTAAAAGTAGATATTTAAGTTGCTTTATGTTTCATTGCAAGATTAGTCAGTAACACCAGGGTTTACGTCTTTCCAGAATATATAAGTTTCCTTTACGGACAAGTTTGTCTGTCACAATGCCGTTTTCTGGTTCTCACTCACCATAGCTGGGTGTAAAGTGGTGAAAACTCAGTTGGTAACTGAAATGAAGGTATTACGTAGTGCTCATAACGATCTGTGGCGGCCAACTGCCACTGGGCGGTGCCGCAGATTTCACATTGTGGATTATGACAGCAACTCTATCCATGGAAGTCTGAACTGCAGGTAGTGTTAAATCTCGTAAAACCTTCGACAGTATTTGCCATACTGTACTCCATCGTCTACTGGGAGAGACACATTGGTATCAAACAACTGTTATCCGGAAGTGTTCGCCCATTCACGCCAGAAGAAGATGGCGGCTGCCAAGTGAAAAGCTAAAACAGTTTACCATGACGAGAAGACAGGAGTTTTATCAAAAATAACAGAACCGGGAACTTACGATGTTCAATGACGCTTTCACAGAAAATTGACCTCAGAAACCTATAAAAGCTGTTGAAAACAAAAGTATAGGAATTTGGAATCTACATATAAGCCTCTGAAGCATACGACTAAATAACAGCTAACTTTAAGCAAAGCGTGCTAAAGTTCGTCCCATATTCCCGGGTTCCCTGATAGACAGTGAAATTTCAGATGTCACAGTGAGCATAGACATCTCACTCTTTAAGATAAAATGCATATGAGCGCTTCATCAGAAAGGCCACGCACAAAACAATAGGGAGATATATATTGTTTTAGTTATTTGTTGAGAGGCTTAAGAATTGGCGCGCAATCCAAAGTCTGGAGGCGGCCAGTTTGGATTTATGACGTGTGATTTATCACGAGATTAATTTTGAAGTAAGTACAACTCACTGGACTGATTTGAAATGGTACATCGTGTGTTAATTTTGTGCGAAAGTATTTCAACGCATTATATTGTATCTATGACATTCCTGCCAGCTGTGGATGAGGACCTGCTTATGATGCTTTTCAGAAAATGATCACACTTTCGTGAGAGTAATATATTTGTCCACAGTAGTTAAATTTATTTGATATATAACGCAGTGATATAGTTTTGGTAGTTGCATGAGCACAGTATGTTCCTCATAATCATATATATGTATCAACGTCACGTACGCGACTTCAGTTGAATTAATTTTGTTTGAAGTAATCCATTACTTGAGTAACATTTTATATGAATAGCTTTAAATTCTTTCTAAACTCAGTATATCTATTATGCATTGCTTAAGTGGCTTATAAAGGTGTTATTACACTTCACTTTAACTCACTTCTCACTGTGAATGCATTCTGTTGGAGTCCTTTTAATTAGTTTGTTTTGATAAAACACATAAACTGTAATGATCTTTCCGACAGAAATTGAACTATCCCGGAGTGGCATCAACATACCCCTCTTGAAAATCCGTAACTGACGGGCTCACGTCTCACTTTTGTATAAGACGCAAACGCGTCGTGCTGTAAATACGTTTGGTTAAACAGGTCCTTAGTTAACATTTGCACATGGAGACTTTTATGTTATCGGTAAAACTATCGTGGGTCTTCAAACAAACTGTGAAGTACATCAGTTATGTCAGCATTTCCATTTACCACCTATCAACCATGCTGGTTGGTCGCACTAGTAAAACCTGTTACTTCCATATTGTTATTGGCTTTCTTTCAACCCGTCACCTGGTCGTTTACACCATAGATTTGTGTGGTTCCACCCATAATAGTTCAAATGTTTGACGGCAATCTTTCAATCGGTGGCCACATTCCCGACGTTCTCAAAAGAAGTGAGGTTTCAAGTGATGCTATATTCAGTCTCTACCAGGATCATATATGTTGCATCTGCCAAATCCCTAATGGTCGTGATCGGTGGTTCTGACCTTGTAGGTTGCGTAGCAAACTCACAAAAATCGATGATATGTTCCATATATGTCACAGTTGTCAAGGTGAGTACTCGTGAAATGTGCATACCTAGGGGAAGGGAAACTAGTTTCCTACCTTAAGATGACATCCTACTACTTAGGGTTGCACATTGATCTGTCTCTAGTAACCCACCATTAATATTCTACTTGTTAGGTGGTGGTGTTATATAGTAACATTATGGTTAGGTTTGCAGTGCTAGTTAAGGAAAGCAATTTAATCGGTGATGTGCAGTTGCATAGAATGAGATGTCTAAAATACGTGTTAAGCATGCAACACTGTCTGACTAACTAGTTTCAGCGTAGAACTTTGCACAGATGTGCAGCAGTTCCATTGCCATGCTACACGTAGGACACAGAGTAGGAGAAGAGAGTAGAGAAAGATTCAAAACAGATAATAAGCAGAAATTCGAGGCAAAAAAAGAAAAAAAATGGTACTATGAAAGAACAATACAGTTTTATTGGACATTATAAATTACAAGGAATGGATGCATCTGCTCCATTGAGAACGAGGATTTTCAGCCAAATTACCAATTGTGTCCAGTCGTCATTGGCTTTTACCATCGCCGGGAACCCAACCAAGAAGTCTATACCTCTCTACGTGGCTGGCTTAAACTAACTGTTGTGGATTTCATTGACTGATGAAGCCATGTTTTGGTTTAACCACAACTACCTTTCTCTTTTCCAATCTGACCTTGTGTTAGCTAACATTGCCCATTGTCGAGGAAGCCGATGACTGGGGATGCGTAACACACGTCCTAACCATCACAATCCATATAACTTTACAGCCTCATTGGTTGATTTCCCCTCCTTAGGTAGCACTCGACGCCCAACCTCAATATTGCTCATCCTATTATATCACAAGACGGGAGATAGAACGCAGGCACCTATAATCAAAGACAGCTAGCCAGACTTTTCATGTTTTCCACTTCCAATGGTCATGCAACGGTGTCACCCTCCTCGTTCGATTAGGGTAAAAAGGACTTATGGATTGTCAAATTAAAACCTGGCATCATTCCATGAAGACTTTGGTCGACATAAGGTGGCGTAGACCACCTAGTTAGGATTTTCAAGACACTCCTTGGAGATATTTGGTGAGATAACTTCTAAGTCGTTCTCATTGACGTAGATGCCTTCATTCTTTATGGAATTCGCGATTCGTTAAATATTCATTGTTCTCTTGCACATTTCCATCTGTTTTAGTTTCTGTGCATTTCTCTACTCTTCCCGACCTTAATGTATGACTTAATTAAGCGTTGTAACCACGTCATTTTAGTTTATGAATTCAACCCCGACATTGTATATCTACAGCTAGACAGCTTACCAAACCTTATACTGAACGTCTTCCTTCATGGTTTGAAAAGGTGACACAGTGGTTAGGACTCTCGCCGACCATGCACATGGCCCGAGGTTCGATCCCCTGCCGACGTACACCTGATATCTATGGTCGGCCTGCAAAATTTGGGCTACCAATATCCATGCTGAAAATTCCATACTTGTACCAAAAATACTGTGGAATCAACCTGTAATCAAAAATAAAATTAAAAAATCTAAAAGAAGTTCTATTCTGACTCATAATTGGTGATAGCGGTCACTGTTTCTATTATGCTTTTCTTGTACTTTCTTCTCTTGCTTCGCGTGCTACACGGAGTGTGGCGACTTGAACTTCCGCACATTTGTGCAAAGTTCTATGTCGAAAACAGACAGATAGCGGTCACCACGGTGGAGAGAAGCGCCTTCAAAGTTATCTATTGCATTCCATGGAACCTCACGGATGGAATTCGAACTCGTCTTTTACACAGTCGAAGCTATAGAAATTAATTCAGGCGAACAAACGTAGTCTTTGTATACAACAAAAGAAGTTTGCTCTACCTTTGTTTCTCCTTGGACTGGGCATATTCTGATCAAAACCTTCCCACCATTATTTTCCATTTTCTTCGTACTTTTATGATATTTATTATTTAAACTCTGAGTATCTGTCCACTTCACCTTTAGCATTACGTAACTTTTAAAATTAGACCTAATTTATTTATTGAATTGTCTACATATATACACATTTATGACTACCTTCGTTGTTCTTATCGCCACCTGTATAAACCTTATTATCAATATTTTGTTATCATTATAATCATCGTTATTAACTACGTTCAAAACATTTACCACATTATTATTCTTTGATCCGCCAAATCACCGTCACTGGTTAAAATTTGTATATATAAATCTATGTAAATTAGAGTAAAGCCTGAAGATCTAATTGAGAACAATAATATTCGCTTATATGTCTTGTTTAAATATTAATAATGGGAATACTCATTATGCATATATATTTATATATTCTATGAGGGAACTTGTAGTGTTTGCAAAGTTGACAATGCACATATCAATGCTTTTCTTTTACTCTTTTAGGTTCCCATGAATCTAATGGTCTAAAGATAGTTTTAGTTGGTGTGTCAATACCAACATCTTGTTTCAATAAAAAATCAATCTTCTTCAACGGATTTCTTTGCCGTCCTTGTTGTTTTTTCCTTCGCGCCACCCGCCCCGGCCATTCAACTAACCAATGTCATCTACTGCTACCTCCGTAGTTCCAAACATTTTTTACCATTTGCCTAAACCTATTACACAGAATTTTCAGCATTTCGGTCCAGGAGCCAATGGTGGTGGTTCAATGCTGGAATTCAACACTCAGTCGTCGTTGTCATCAACGTCAGCGAGTGATTATGCGTCGAAAACAGGCTGTTATACTACAAAAACTGATTCTTCTTCTTCTTCAATATCCACATCGAAATTAGTCTCATATAACCTGGATGCTGCTCTACGCCTATCCTTAAAGTCATCATCCTCGACAGTTCCGTCGAACAGCAGTAGTCATATATCGGGCTCTACAGCTAGTACTAGTACAGAGAAGAAATTACCTCAACGACCCTTATCTTTTCATGAATCATCTGCTCCCCCATTGGATTCGTTAATCAGGCAGAAAATTCAAAGTTTGCCGAGATCTTTAATTTTAACTGATTCGAAGGAGGAAGATAAAAAAGGCAGAGAAGGAGAAAGTAAACCCACTGAAAAATGTAAGTGTCGTCAATGTTTAATATGTGTAAAACCTGGGCATTGTTGTAGTAAGTAATTCCACATTGAAGAGAAGACGCTCAGCGAAGAGACTCTTCGGCGGGGAATTCATTCGCATAGCTGTACAACCGCATTTATATATAATTATTTTTGTGTGTGTGTGTGTGTGTAAATGAGGTTTATCAAGTTTGGATGTGATTAATCAGGTAATACAAGGATAATCTATTATAGAAATAAGGTTAGTCAGACAGCGACTAAAGTAAGATTGAGTTAGTAAGTTAGATGACGTCATATATTTGACTAAAATGTGTCAACTTAGGTCAGGGTAGCAACAGAGGTAATTACATGCAGAAACTAAGTAGAAGTGGGATAGAGTATAATGTCATTTACATTAGATGGATGACTAAACATTGGGCGTTGGTCAAGTCAGTAACAGTGGTAGTGAGGTGTAGAAATTAAATCGGATGGGGGTAGAGAACAAGAAAGTTGAAAATGCAAAATATTACAATTGAGAAGACAAAATAATACTAATGAAGAGACAGAAAAAAAAGAGATTAGGTAGAATTTACTTTTCAGGTAATAAGATAGATTACGTCCATTGCAAGTGTAGTGATTGAACGAACTTCTTCTGTAAACAGAGTTTAGGGCTTAGCAAGTGAATCGCCATTACTTCTGCAATTTTGAAGAAGTCTGATTCGTATACCTTTAGGAAGACTACTTCTTACTCTGTAGACTACTTTGAAGTTTGTTTGGGGTGTAGCTTGGTGTCCTGATTCTATCAGATGTTCTAAGATGGAGCTGGAAGGGCATCGTTTTTCTCCTTTGTAAAACCATGTTGGTAGGTGTTCGATGATACGTTTGGAAAGCGAACGCTGGGTACGACCGACATACCTGGCTCTACACGAGCAGGTGAATTGATAAATACACAGTGATGAGGCCAGCAGGGTGGTAGCTTATCCTTCACGTTCACAAGAATCATAGGTTTTGTGGAGATGGTCAATCGTCGTAGTTCAGCTGCGAAGAAGGCCTTCTTAAGTGTCACACTTACTAACTCAATCTTACTTTGGTTACTGTCTGATTAACCTTGTTTCTATATTAGATCATTCTTTTATTACTTGATCAATTATCTAAACTTGACAAACCTCATGTACACACACAAATAATTATATATAAATGCGATTGTACAGCTATGTGAATGAGTTCGCTGAAAAGAGCCTCTTCGCTGAACGTCTCCCCTTTTTTCATATGTCTCAATGGGGATTTTCAAAATTCCATATTAGTTTCTTTATTAGATGTATCACACAGTGAAACAGTATTATTATTATTATTTACTGGATGACACAGTTTCGAACAAAATTTATTGTTCATAATCATTTCATCAATTATAATCACACGACTTTGAAACTTCACTTTTATAGTTTTATAGAGAGATATATTTGGAACAGAAAGTGGAATCAATTCACCGATTCACTTATGAATTGGAAAGTCAAGAAGGGGAGCTTCCAATTTTAGATTGTACCGTAAAAAGGAAAGAATATGGAAAGTTAAACACTAGCGCTTGTTTACAGGAAACCCACACATTCAAACAGAAATTTGGACTTCCGATCACATCAGCCGATGTCCGTGAAAGTATGGATTGAAGAAATGTTTGAGTAATAGAGCACAAAAACTAAGTAGTACCAAGGTAAATCTAAGACAGGAAGGGATACGTATGAAGGAAGCCTTGAAACTTAATAATTACCCTGATAAATTAGTCAGGAAATATGTAGGAGGCAAATGTAAAAATGAAATAAATAATGATTGTAGCGATATTAATAATGATGACATGCATGTCAAACATGCACAGAATGATGACAACACCAACAATAAGTCATCAGTAGGAATTCCATAAAACGAAGGGACCTCGAAATCCACCTTACGCAGAATTCTTCACAAGGCAGGAATAAAAGTGGCTGGCATTCAAACCAACCACAAACTCAATTAGAAACAAGCTTTGTCGGTTAAACGATCAATCCTGTGGAGCCTTTAAAACAGAACAATTTAGTTTATCTAATACCCTATCTGCAATGATTGTCAGATCAAATACTTAGGTCAAAGTAGTAGAACAGGTGCAGTCAGACTAGCTGAACATAAACCTAGCAGCGAAATCTAGATTGGTTGACCCGAATAAAATAAGAAATCTCGAGAGTGGTTCAGCTATACCACTCACTTCATGCAATACCATACAGCCATACAATAGAACAAGTGAGATAAAATGACAGTTTTAGAATCTAATTTCACAGGGTGGAGAGAGGGAGAGATTGATAATAGAAGCTTTGTTTATCGACTCAACTGCAAATACATGTAACAGGAATGATTCGACACCTGTCCACTCGGACATCTGGAAAATTCTTCTACCCCAACGACAACAAATAGGAGAGAACAAAGAAAACTATAAAACTCGAGTTTCGAAGTCGTGTGATTATAATTGATGATGAGATGACTATGAACAATAATGGATTGTGTTCGAAACCTTATCATCCAGTAAATGATACTGTCACTCCACTGTGTGATACATCTAATAAACAAACTTATATGGAAGTCCTCGATGTTTGTTTGATTCCTTAACGTGTTGGCTATGTGTTGATTGTTTGCATGCAGTGTAGTATTGTTTCCCGTTCAGACAAAGGTGCGAAGTTTAGTCGATTTGCCATTTTAGACCACATTGCTGCTTTTGGTTCTATGCCTAGGAAACTTTCACTAAGCAAGCTGACTTCAAAACACGCACACACATACACACTGAACCACCACGGTTACAAGGTGGTTGTTGTCTTCTTTCTATTTTTCAACTAGGAAACACCCTACTGCTTCTTTGCTTACTGAAACTGGTACGCCTCATGGGGACTGCGTTTTTTTGCCTGTCTTTCTTTTTGAGTGAGTTACTGTATTCTTTAAAGCTAATTTCATTGGGCATGCTGACGACCTGACAATGTCCCAGGCTGTTCTGATATGAATAGTTTCTTATATGAGGATTAACCAATGGTCTTTCAGTGAAACCTTCTAAATGTTTATACTCAAGATTTTAGTTTCAGACGTCTGTCTGTCTGGATTCAACATAGAACTTGGCACCCAAGTGCACCAGTTCGAGTTGCCACGTTCCAAATAGCACACAGAGGTAGACAAGAAGATGAGTGAAGAGAATCAATACAGTCTGACAAGTATGCGAGTGAAACAGAATGGGTAATGGTAGAAAGGAATATGAAAGATTACAGAGACTGAATACATCTGAGCTGGCCATTGACAACGATTTTGAGCCATGTCACCTACTGTCTCCAGCCACTGATTGATTCCTAGAGTCAGTCCCGAGGGCCCCAACCCGGAAGTCTGAATCTCCTACCCTACCTGACTGACTCAGTTTAACTGTCAAGGATTTCATGGATTGATGAGGCCATGTTTTTGTTTGGCCACCACTGGCTCTTTTCCAACCTGCACCACCTATATCAGCTAGCAATGCCCGTCTGGTGGGGGAGGCGATGGTTAGGCATGCGCACCACCTGACCTAGCCATCTTAGTCTATGTAACTTTATAGCCTCGTCGATTGATTTTCCCTCTTTATCCAACACTACGCCTAACGTCAACATTACTTACCTTATTAAACTGCTTTCGATCATAGATGTCTGCGATCTCTGTCTCACGTTAGGTGGTTTAATAAGGTAAGTAATGTTGACGTTAGGCGTAGAGTGTTGGGCAAAGAGGGAAAATCAATCGACGAGGTTATAAAGTTACATAGACTAAGATGGCTAGGTCACGTGGTGCGCATGCCTAACCACCGCCTCCCCCGACGGGCATTGTTAGCTGATATAGGTTCAGGTTGGAAAAGAGCCAGTGGTGGCCAAACAAAAACATGGCATCAATCCATGAAATCCTTGACAGTTAAACTGAGTCAGGTAGGGAGATGCAGACTCCCGGGTTGGGGCCCTCGGGACTCTAGGAATCAATGGCTGGAGACAATAGGTGACATGGCTCAAAATCGTTGTCAATGGCGCAGATGTATTCAATCTCTGTAATCTTTCATATTCCTTTCTACCATTACCCATTCTGTTTCACTCTTATATTTGTCAAACTCTATTAATTCTCTTCACTCATCTTCTTGTCTACCTCTGTGTGCTATTTGGAACGTGGCAACTCGAACTGCTGCACTTCGGTGCCAAGTTCTATGTTGAATCCAGACAGACAGACAGACCTTATTAAACCACCTAACGTGAGACAGATCGCAGACATTTATGATCGAAATCAGTCAACCATTTCATGTCTTCAACTCGTATTGGCCATGTTTCAGAGCCATAGAGAAGGACGGAGCGAACTTCTGAGCAGTACACACGTCCCTTGGTTGATAGCCGGATGTCACGCCTACGCCAGAGGTGGTGTAAGTCAGCGAAAGCAGCTCGAGCTTTTTGGATCCGTGCTGAGATTTCGTCGCCAATCAGTCCGTTGGTGCTAATACAACTTCCCAAATAGGTGAAGTGGTCAACATGTTCTATCACTTCTTCACTCCCTATCACTAAGCTAGGAGTTGACGTAGTCCAGTCCTGTAGCAGCATCTTACATCGTCTTTACATGGGCGAATCGCATGTCAAACATACGAAGATTGCTGCTCAAGGTGTTCAGAAAACTCTGCTGGATTTTGTCAGCATCCTCGCCTAACAGTACTATGTCATCTGCATATTCTAAGTCCATAAGATTATTCCCTGGTAACGTGAGTAAGACTTGCCCTTGGCTGATTCACTCCCATGATTTGAGTAGTATCGACGGCACTGTGTGTTAGGAAGTAAATTGAATATCTTCTTGTCTTGATATCGGTTTGTCTTCCAATCTACGGTGGTGGTCGTCTCATATCTTGTTGATTTCTGAGGAAATTTTTCGTTTGACCTTGTTACACATAAAGAAGCTGAGACTTTCTGGCATAACTAACTCATTACTCATATAAAAATAAAACTTTTGCACTGTGGTAGAGCATAATTCC